CAGAACAAATGTGGCAGACTTGTTACTTACTTGTTCAGATGACAATATCCGGTGAAAATTCTTATTTGGGTCATAGATTCCAAGATGTAGGTTAGAATCTGTGATTGCGAAGTACATAGGGTGACCATATTTTAGTTTTTCAAAAAGAGGACTCATCTGACTAAGTCTGTCGGTCTGTCTGTTGATCTATCTATTTGACTCAACATATGCTGACAAATATGCTGAGGATATTCCCTCTCCAGTCTCCGTTGCACAGCGTTTGAGAGAGATTCTGGCACTCCTATGATGCAGACGCGTAGAAGACTGTGTGTGTGTGTGTGTGTGTGTGTGTGTGTGTGTGTGTGTGCGCGCGCGCGCGCGTGTACACGGTCACGGGGAATCCGTGGGAGCGCAAACTCCGCCCACGCCATGAACACCTACAGCGGCGAGTGCGGTGCGTGGGGGGGTTTGCCTCGCGCTCGGAGCTCGGGCTGCAATGAACACACCACTACAAATCTGCTCTTGACCATGTAACAGGAGTGCAGTTCACCAGATCTTCACGAGCGAGTGCTGCGGCAGGTAGGACATCAGTTTATATACTGGTGTGTTTCATGAATCATGTGTGCGGGCTGACGGAATAAACGCGGCTTTACGGTGAGATGGACGCAGGAACTTCAGTGTTCCCATTCTGTCTCCTCTTCGACTGTCTGTATCTTCTTTATACATCGGTTACATCATCTTAAAACAGTCTAAACCCCACAAAAGTCAGTGTCAGAGGATATTCCCTGACAAACAAGACTGTTTTATGCATTACATATAATGTCGTCTCACCAGGTGTTTGAACAGGTGCAATGCAGCAGAGCGTTTTTGTATTTATCGAGGTAGCCTGAAGTCGTTTTCATATTTTTGTATAGGCAATTTTTGTTAAAGTTCAGAAGTGTCACCACAGTTCAATCGGTGGTGTTTATTGCACATATTATATGAGGCTAGTTGTCCCACTTTTCACTCCAGTGAATATTAATAGGGTAGGTTTATTTTCGAAAGTCAATTTCTGTGTAGATAAATGCCTTAACGTATTGGGGACAAAAGGTTTTATGTGTCCTATTGTGTAGCCTCTTGTCACATGCTGCTGATAACTGTTTAAGATGTGATGTGTCATCTTTTGTGTACTATGAGCAACAACATACAGTAAATCACTTCTGTTTTCCGAAGCATTAGCTATTTATACCCAAGTGAGACATAATCAAGATAAGAGGCAGCTGAAGGAACAGCACATCAGTTTGTTTGACTGACCAGGGGAACACTGTATTACTCAGATGTCCATACTCTTTCATAGCTCAGGACACTTATTTGTTTAATTTAAGTAGGCTATTAGATGTTCCTTCTAAAACTCCTTAGAAGAAATAAAAGTAGACGCTAACAATTGTTACCATACAGTATGAGTATAGAGCTATAAATAGCATAGTTCAGGTAATTAAAAAAAAAATGTTTTTTTTTTTAGTTTATATTGAAATTTCTGTCTTTATAGCATGTTTTGGCAGTTTTTGACTTTGAGATTTTTTCTGTAATTGGAGAAGTGAGATTACTGGGTGAAGTAAAAACCTGAGAAGGAGGAGACTAAAGCAAATGTTTAAATTTTTCTTTAGGCCTATTTAATATTAAATTTAATATATTACATATTACACTTATGCATTTAGAAGATGCTTTTGCAGATATGAAAATGCAACAATGAAAGTATTAAAACCATAAAATAAAAAAACAAACATAAAACGAATGGACCCATGTGAACACAGTTTATGTATTTGATTTGCAATTTCACCAACCGTAAAATCACTGAGTGTCCATAATATTTGTAATAGAGCGACTAATACTGGTCACACATATCTTATAGGAAAGAGAACTATTTACTATTAATTATACAGACTAGGGATGCTCCGATCCGCCTTTTTCGCCTCCGATACCTAGGGTTCGGTATTGGCCGATACCGATACCGATCCGATACCAGTGAAGTTTTTTTCCCTCATTTAAATAAATGTAGAATTTATATATCTCTGTGTGTGGACATTATAATAATTATTTTACAATCTACTAGATACAGACTACTTCATTATAAAGAAAAATAAAATAAACAATAAATCTGAAAAAATATAGGCCTATGCGCAGCCACAATAGATCTGTATGACACATGGATCGCTTTTATTTCGTTTTTCCTGTTTTATTCAAAATATTCACAAACATGCTCACTATGAAATATCTGATATTCCGATTCTGAAATATGTGCAAGTAAATCTATTTGGTAGTTTAAACACTTTTATATCGACCGTGCTAGTTGATCTATACCGGGTGATGGGCGCCGCCATGTTAGTTTGCGCTGAATCCGAGGCGCCAGCCAGAGCGCGAAAGCAGATTTAAATTCAGCAGTTGATGAGGTGACGCACTGAAAGTTCTAATCACACCGGTGTGATCGTATGCGTTAAAGGGTTAGACTATCATATGGCTTCAGAAGTAACACAGAATAATTCGCACAATCGAAAAAACATTTTTTGCACGTGAGTTTAAAATATTCTAGCTGAGCCCCCAGCATGAGGTTTTTTTAGGCGACCGTTATTTTCGAATGTATCGCCTTTTTGCTTCCATGGCGACGCGTCTGTTTGTCATGTGACACAATGTAGCCATAATAGATCTGTATGACACATGGATCGCTTTTATTTCGTTTTTCCTGTTTTATTCAAAATATTCACAAACATGCTCACTATATTACGAAATAGCTGATATTCCGATTCTGAAATATGTGCAAGTAAATCTATTTGGTAGTTTAAACACTTTTATAGCGACCGTGTTAGTTGATCTATACCGGGTGATGGGCGCCGCCATGTTAGTTCGCGCTGAATCCGAGCTGTGG